TTAACTACTTTTTTCGTGGCTAGATGCGTTTGTAGGAAACGTAGTCCAACAGTAGCAACGATGTCATATTTCATATCATGCTTTGTTATGCTAGGGTCTACAAACAATAATATTCATTTATGAAAGCTTCATTGCGGTTTAAATACAGCAGACAAGTGCAATTGCTGAAGGCTTAAATATCGTTTTCTCATCATAATTGAAGAATAGTACTTTTTATAATTAGCCAAACCTTTTAGTGGTCAGAAATAGGCGTTAAGATAACCGTTAGTCTGCATAACAAGAGCTTACCTTAATAATTGATAAATACACTCTTTACAAATACATCTCAGTCTGGTGGAGCAGAGCAAAAATTGTATTTATTTTGGAAAATGTATCCAAAAATAATCAGGAAATGAGATCAGCATTCAAATCATTTATTGGAGCTCATTCTGTCGTCCAGATTCATCATACAGATTAAGTGTTGCTTAAGCTTTGATACTCGCTCAAGAGACATGCTGGACTAGTTCAGCAGGAATATATTCTTCCAATGATTATATTTTTAAAGAGATTCTATTGTAATTTTTCCATTTATCCATCAGTTTATAAAATAAATTAACTTTCAGCTGGTTTAGGATACACACTCATCTGTCCATGCTTCAGCCTCTCTCCAACAAATTTTCTGTTTATTTATCCATTTATTGTCTATTCGATACTGTTTAATCGGATGCTTTTGCTATGCTAACTTTATGAAATTGTCTAGCCAATTTTTTATTATAAGTCTGACCGCTAAAAAAATAACATTTATAAAATGGGGTTTCGCTTATTTTAGACATTTTTCGAAAAACTTTCTTATTGATATCACCTTCGCTATGGAGCATAAGATCAGGTGATTTTAAATGTCATTAATTAACTGAGTCTTAAATATACGGTAGTTATTAGAAACAATTAGCCTACTAGAAATGTGTTTCGACTTGATAAAAACGTCTGAAATCAGAGTCTATTGTATATAGAACAAAGCAGATTAGTGAATAGTGTTGGTCTGACCTAGTTTACCTAATTTGGTCGGAGCGACAGTGAGGATTTGTGGAACGTACCTAGTCCTTCATCGTCTACTCTCGAGTTTTCATAATAATTTCTTAACGTCAATTAAAACAAGGCTGCTTAAGATTCAATGGAAACGTAGGGTCTACTCACACAATGCTACAAAAAGTCAACTAACAGTCCCCTTATCACCGTAACCGAAATATGGTTAATACATCTCATGAATAGCCCTCTTGTTTAGCTCTGTATTCCTATCTGATAGGCAAAGGGTTGAACATGTACAAAAACTTGTTGACCACTAATTATCTAGTTTATTTCTTGCATCGAAAATTGTCATCGTGAAGACAAATGAATCTTGAGGAAAGCTCTAGACTTGCAAAAGTGTTGGTAGACAGCCACAATCGATTTGGCCATGAATACAAATATTTCTTGCTTTCAGTTCTATAATTTAAACCATCTAATCTACGTTCGAGCATAAAATAAATTATAAATAATACAAATTAATAATAAAACTATTATGGGATGACAAGGATAATACTAAAAAACAAATACGAAATTATCTTAAGTTAAGTTAAGGAATAAAATTTGAATTTACCACAATTAAATGAATATACTTCACTATGTCAATGGATTAAATTTATGCCTGCCTCTCAGAAGCCATTTTCTTTGAGTTGGCCGGCATTTTTAACCTCACCTAGTCAGCTTAAGTCCTTATTTTAACATTCCAAGTATTAGCCACCTTAAGTGACCTGAAGTGGCTTAAGATCTTAACCAAGCTATAAAGATTATTGAAACTCTACAAATCCCATATAAACACAATGAGGGAACCTGATTGGTCCGATTTGCTCTATCCAAAATTTTAACGTCTACTAGATTTCATTCAGGTTAAGACTACAGCATAGACTTCGTCAAAACCTGCCAGTTTGAATGACAAAAAGTTATAAATAAGCCTTGGAATAGTGGAGTGTAGTTCTTCGGAAGGTTAGTATTTCGAACTTTCATCTTGAAGCAAAGTTGGCCGAAGGGTTGCATAACTTAGCTTCATCAGACATTGAACCGAACTTTACTTATGGTGTAGGCTCTTGGGTTTTGCGAAGAATTCCTCTGATTGCTTTGTTACTCAAATGAATCCATGCTCGGGAATTCTCCCGCTTCTATAAAAGTTGGATGTGCCAATAAGGCCCAGATGAATTAAAAACGACGACAGACTCAGGCAGGGATGGATGGAATAAGCCAACAAAAAGCAGGTTTTAGCTTCCCAAAATTATATCAGTTGGTTTAGCTTATGGTTAGAATTATTGTTCTATAACTCATGGATTTTGATATCTTATTGCGGTTTAAAAAATATACAGACAGCATAGCTAGCTACGAATACATTTTACCGATAATGTACAGATTGATATTTCTATATCCGGTCGACATGTGTCAGTATGTTCACTTCTTGCATATGTTTTGCATTTGTAAAGATAAACATTTAGCTGTCCTTGATTTAAAATAATTTAGGCCGATTTCAAGGCAAGAAAGTGACCGGAATGTATTTGAAGTATACTAGAACAAATCAATCAGCAAACATACTCACAGCACGCAAGTCAGGTGAGCTTACGAGATGAGAGAATGAAGCGCTATTTGCGTGGAGAAATGACGATTAGGAGATTTATTGCATACTTGAGTGTAGCTAGAGAATTAAGTGGATTTACCAGGAATGAATTGTATTGGGTGGAAAAATCAAATGAGCAATCTTGTTTTGGGATTTTTAATAAAAGTAAATCATCAACTTAAGACACAAATATTCTAGCTGCATACTGCATGCATTTAGTGATAATCCCAACTCGTCTGGCAATAAGCTCCACACTCTTCAACCATTCTTCCCATGTACAATTTCTGGTAGGTTTAGCCGATCGGACAGCCTCGCAATTTTTAGGCCTGCACATTAATTAGAAACCGCAATTCCTATTCTAGAAAACTAAGAAGTGCAGACGAGTTGTTTGGCTAAAATTGTCATCCCAGCTACTTAGATTCATAATTTGCTCCTATCTCCCAAGTTTTCCAGCTTTTTTATTTCCGAACAGTGTGGTAGGAACTTTCCGTAAGCTTGGGACTTTCTATCACGTTAAGGAGTACCTGAAAGTACCAAAGCAGTGTTCCCCTTGCAGTATTGTAATTATTTTTATGAGAATTTCCTAATTTATATTATTAAATATTTATATATACACATATATATTCTAATAGGCATATATAGCTAAAACGGATGAAAAAATTGCCAATGATTTAATGACAACTAATAGGAATATCGAAAATTACAAATCATGTAAATAAAGCAAATAAAACGACATATCAGCAATTTATTTAGAAGGAAAAAAGAAAAAAAGCATTTTAAAACTATAAAAAATAGGATACCAATAAAAAAGTGTCAGAAATTAATAAATATGATATTATAAATTATTAAAATGAATTGAAATAGAATAATATTTACTGCAAGGTAATGTCTAGTTTATGAGTGAAAAAAACGTGACAGTATAAAGTGGGATTGAAAATCAAAATTAATTCTATGCAAAATATAGTAAAAATGCATCTCACTTGAGAATTGCATTACTTCTCAAATAATAAACCTCTCTCTGAGGATATCGTTCGCTCATGTTGAACATATTTTCGGATTGGGATAATAAACTAGCATCATTGCCTTTGATAGGATAAATTAACCGGAACGAATTTAATCCACCCTATCCAGTGAATTTGGTGAAAATGAGACTATTTGCAAATAGGATTAGCGGATGGGAATTACCATTTTCCGGCAAAGTTCACAGCAATTTAAGCAAAATCCTTTTATTCGCTATAATTTGACGGAAAGTGTGTCTGGATTGAAAATTAATTTTTGTGATTACTCCTAGAGTCCACCTCATATCTGGTAGAAAACATCTATTTAAATGGTGTTTATTACCTTCTTTCTTTCTTATTCGATTTTCGCATAAACTTCCGTCGGTATAATCCAAATTTCCAGCCTTATATGCTTGTATGTGATTAAATAGGCCCAAACAGATCAGATAGTCTGACGATGAACATGACATTTTTAGTCACGTTCTGCCCCAGAAACGCTAACAATGAGGCTTCGAGCGCTAATAAAATCTGTATGCTCCAGTCGGTTCCGGAAAGACGGATTAAACTGAGACCGTTGTCAAGCTTACTCATACACGAAATTATATTGGGTTAGTATTCATTTTTACTTTTTTCCAAACAAATGCGTTTTTTTCAGAATGTTATCATCCTCCGATGATGGACAGATGACGCCCCACAACTTTCCACCTGAAGTCTACAGACAGGCCAGACAGATGTTCTATTCTTGCTGTAGCGCATTGGCGGCTGTAGGGAACAATCAAGATGTCGTTCAATTGTCTCGAGAACAACGACTGCAGGGAGCTGAGGCAACAGATGATGGAGAGGACGAGGAGCTCAGCTTCATGCGGACGGACCTCGTGCGAATGTTGAATGTTCCCGGCTCTCCGTTTGAGCAGCGCAGTCTGGCAGAACTGGAAGCAATCTTTGATTCACTTGACGCCAATAAGGACGGCCAGCTGACACTCGGTGAATTCACGGAGGGATTCGGTGAGAATGTGATAGTTTGTCTTGGCTTTAGGAAAACTTTCGCTTCTACTTTTTGTAGGAAATGAGAGCTAAAGGAATTCTTCTGTTTGCGATAGACTTGGCCGTTGACAGAGCTCTGGTCAGCATGTGTTTATTACTTGAGGAGAGTAGCATTGGTATGAATAGTAAATGTGAAACATTATACTATCATTATACTATTATATTTGTATGATAATATTTTCTTTACAAGGGCATGATTGACACAATGCTAGTACTTACCCATTTCTTTTTGCCCATACGAATAAAGCATGTCAGAATATAATCAAAGGTGGTGGATATCCCGTAACTAGGTAAAATACAAGAGATATTAGATTATTTCATCCATTTGCCTTAGCTGTTTTAGTTCTTTTTCTAGGATACTCAGACAGAGATGCATCAATTTGGCCCTCTAAAATACACATATGTCTTTTGGGTGAAATTATCAGATGAGGAGATTCGTAAGTCAATTTCATCATGGCAGCTGATTCGTGGTGCTCTGTCGTTATCTGATGTTACCATGACGTTCACATGATAGAAATTATTATAGTTGCACCTCACTCTTCAAAAAACGTCATGCTAACACATCAAAACACTAACATGCGATTCATTTTTATAATATGTAAGATAAAATACAGGTAATAATATAACAAAATCTAATACATATATATACTCCTAGCTAAGATAGAACCGAAAAACTTTATATATATTTACACAGAAGGCTATGAAATGATTAGGTAAACTCCGCCTTAAGTAGGTGGGGG